TTGGTCGGGAAGACTGAGGGAAAGCATAAGTTATGGTCCCAGTCAACCAATTTTCTAGTGCTACTGATGGATCTTGCCTGCTGGAATAATGTAAATGGGATTTTGAAGAATTCTAAAGCTTTTCACTTATGATTGCTTTTCTGCTTGTTTTGGAGTTGAGTGGTTTCCAAAAATTCAAAGGGCGTTTGCCACCCAGTTTTATATTTATGTTTCAATGTATTGACTTTCCATTACTATTCTGCAAGTATGAATGCTTAAATCACTTAATTTTTCTTTTACCTATATTTATACATATATGTTTGGGGTTTTTTTCAGGATTTACTTGGAGTAAAAGATCACTGACTTCTACAATGGAAAAGTCATGGATGCTTTGGACCTTTGTAAAAAGATGGCTACTAGCTTTGGCTTCCTGGTCTTGGAGTCTCTGCCGTATTTGTCTTTTACCCTTGATAGTAACTTTTCACTTGTACGGAGGCATTTTACTACTTATATTAATATTTGTATCAATAGCAGGTATATTATATAAATTCCAGGATGTGCTGCTTTATTTTCCTGAACAGCCCTCTTCATCACGCCTTTATGTTCCTATGCCTACTGGTATACCACATGAAAATATCTTCATCAAAACCAAAGATGGAGTTCTTCTCAATCTTATTCTGCTGAGATACACAGGAGACAATGCAGCATATTCTCCAACCATCATTTACTTTCATGGGAATGCAGGCAACATTGGCCACAGGTTGCCAAATGCTTTGTTAATGCTGGTAAACCTGAAAGTAAACTTGATTCTTGTCGATTATAGAGGGTATGGAAAAAGTGAAGGAGAAGCAAGTGAAGAAGGTTTGTACTTAGATTCTGAGGCTGTGTTAGACTATGTGATGACTCGATCTGACCTTGATAAAACAAAAATTTTTCTTTTTGGCCGTTCCTTGGGGGGAGCAGTAGCTATTCACTTAGCTTCTGAAAATTCCCATAGGATTTCTGCCATCGTGGTGGAGAACACCTTTCTTAGCATCCCATATATGGCCAGCACTTTGTTTTCTTTCTTTCCAATGAGATATCTTCCTTTATGGTGCTACAAAAATAAATTTCTGTCCTACAGAAAAATCTCTCAGTGCAGAATGCCTTCTCTCTTCATCTCTGGGTTGTCTGACCAGTTAATTCCGCCAGTTATGATGAAGCAACTTTATGAATTATCCCCAGCTCGGACTAAGAGATTGGCGATCTTTCCTGATGGAACTCATAACGACACTTGGCAGTGCCAGGGTTATTTCACTGCACTTGAACAGTTCATCAAAGAAGTAATAAAGAGTCACTCCCCTGAAGAAATGGCGAAAACATCATCTAACGTAACAATAATATAATTACTCTTCTTCGGGGTGGGGTGGGGTGAGTACCTGCACTGTACCTTGATTTGTGAAAAGTGGTAAAAGAATGTCCATTTTTTAAATGTATGTCATGTCTGTACTTGCCTAAAGATTGAAATTAAACTTGGAAAGGTCTGATGCTTTATTAAGATGTTCCAGATAACTTTTACATTTGCAGCATTGTAAATGAACCATTTTATGTCTTTCTCATAATTTTTTGGTATCTCTGTCCATATATTCCATTTGTTTGACATGTACAACAGATGCTATTAAAGGAACTTGCTACAAAAGTAGTACAGAATGTATTAGTTCAGAACAATGGGAGGCTCTTCAGTATTCACTGCTGTATGTATGAGCTTTTTGGAGTCATGGTTAGCACAATGATTTGTTGCTTCTCTTAAGAGTTTATTTAAAGTGTGCCATGCATGAGATTAGTGTTTTATTCCTTGAAATTTTATATTATGCAAGGTTGGAAGTCTTTAATGTGCTAAATAATTTAAAATAACATTAATGATAGAGTATACTTGCAGGTATTCTGTTCTGGGTTATTACTGGGTTTTATGGTTATGCATACATATATTTCAAACTGCAACTGAAAAGACACTTTCCCTGTTTTCATTTTACTTTTTGTATTATAATAGTGACCAGAAAGTGTTATGTGCCTAATCATCACGGCTTCAGGATTTCACCCAGGCAATTTTCATAGAAAACTGAAGTAACCTTCAAAAAGAGAGCAGTGCGATCTAAGCTCATTTCCACCCCAAGCTCTCCTCACTAATGTACAAGCAAACTATTTTGCTGGTATTAGTCTGCTTGTGCATTTGAGGTGGGATTTCCCAAGACAAAGTGGGTGGTGTGATAACAAGGAGTGTCGTACAAGGTAAAAGTATGTATTTGTGTTAGATTTTTACTTTTCTTTTAGGCTGCTGTAGTGAAACGTCAGTGCCCTTTATTTATACCTCCAAAAGAAACCAATCCAAATAATTACCAGTGATCACATGATTAGAGATTAACATATACAGTTGTTACAGTAAGGATAATAAAAATGAGCAGTGCATTAAATTTAGTAAATCTAAGCTTGCTTGGTTAGACCTAAATTGGAAAGAGATGACACTTATTTTACCACTTTTACCCATTTGCTTGCAAAGTCTTTTACAGTTCTGTTGTACCATGTGGAAGTAGCCTAAAGCATCAGCAGAAGTGAGTTTTCTGTAGCTTTTCTGGGAGCTAGTATCACCGTTTCAGAGCCAGCAGTACTTAAATTAAGAGAGAGTCTGATTCTGACTGAATGTTGGGATTCTTTTTTTGTTTTGTTTGGTTTGGTTTTAGGAGTCCTTATCCTAGATAGGCATATCAAAATTGAATGCTGTTAGCTCAGCCCATATTGGAGTGTGGGGCTGTTTAAATCTCTTCTGCAGGTTTAATTTCTCATATACTGCAGCTGATAGTTTGCCTCTTCAAAACACTTTTTATGGGAAGAACAAACCGTGGAAAATCTTCCACGCAGTCTGTACATTTACCCTTCGGATTGAAATTTTTAAATAAACTTTTCTGCCATGTTGTCCCGATTCAGAAAAGCATCTCAGCACACACTTAAAATCTGTTTCCTGAAGGACAGTGGTATTTTAAGCTTGTGCTTAACTTCTCTGGTTGAATAAAACTGCTTTCCTGAACTGGTGCCTTAATGGTTATTCCTCCTAAAATTTATTACACGTGATTACAGGTCTTATGTACACATGGGTAATAGTTGTCAGCAATCTATAGATAGGGTTGATACATTTTTACTTAAATGTGATTTTTGATTTTTTTTTTTTTTTCAAATAAACATATACATACCAGAAATTGTTTTTTTCACAGGTAAGGATCTTTTGCCATACTATTAAGGTTTTCTTAGTTGACTGAAAAAACTATAGACCTAAAATAATTAGATCATAGTTTTAAATCTGAGTGAAACCAAAACTATCTCCTCAGCCTTCCAGTGATGGTAATTTTTTGAAGGGTGGGTAGAGAATGTGTTATTGGTGAAGTTTGACTGGACAGGAGGGTGGGGTTGTCTGTATAGCAGAAAGGAGTGAATAGACATGGCATTCTCTTTCACTGATTTATTCTAAAATGACAATGTGAGCTGCTTGCATAGGTTGTTTCAGCTACTTCACATTGCTTTAAAATCAAGGGGGGGGGGGGAGTGAAGGAAAATAAGTGGGCAAATACTGCTTTTCTAAACATAAGATAAAGCCAAAAGAATAGATTACCTGTTGGAGACAGAATGAAGAGAAATTGTTTCAGAAGTTGTCATAACTTACCATTAAATGCCATCTTTTTTTATAATAGAATGTTGATTTCTAAATGAACATCACTTTTTACCCTGCTTCCCTCCAGTCAAAGACAAACAAAAAACCCAAAATACCCCCCAGTATTATGTGACACTTATACAAATGAAGTGTTCTCATTTGGGCACACAGTTGCTAAGTCAAAACTGGCATTTGATTATGGCCATCTGGAGCTGTTAAGAGTGAACTGTACCTAAGCATTACTTTTGATTATCAAAGCCATATCTTTTCACTATACTATCTGCAGGACATAAAGATGAAACTTCGTCTGATTTTGCAAGTATTGGGTATGAGAAGACACAATTGTCATATATGCTTCCTTTATACTTAATGTGGTTTCTTCCACATATGCATATTTTTACTTCTCCCTTAATGGATTGGGTGCATGTATTTCTGAATGAATGTCTGTTACCATGCTGTTTCTCATTGCATTGACTATGAAATTCACTGAAAGAAAATAGGAAGGAGATTACTTTTTTTTTTTTTTTTTTTTTTGCACATACTCCACTGCTGTGCATACGATCTTTCAAGGGAGAGGGAGAAGGGGGAAGAAACTTGTTCTGACAAGTCAAGACTTGTTTTTATTTTTCGATCTGTGTGATGGAAACCCACAGTTGTCAGCTGCTAAAAAGTGAACTGCAAGCAACATAGTAATAACTTTAAATTGCCAAAAGGTATATTATGATACTGATGCATTTATTCCACTTAATACCATTATATATTTTCCCTTAACAGTTCTCTGTTTATGTGTAGATGTTTTCCAAGTATTTGTCCTGTATATATACATT